CTCCCTGGATTAAGCATGGATTAAGTGTTGCCGGTGTAAATGATGTTTAATGAAAAATTGAGGGTATACACTCTGAAACTCATTGAGTGGCTTGTGATTTTGTCCATGCTGTGAAATTAAGGGTATACTGATGAAGAATTTTAAAGGCTTTAATTTCTTTATGAAATTAGTTTTTGATTTAATAATCTAATGATAATCTTATTTAAGCGGGACATTAAGTGCTCCAGGTGTTTTGAGGGCTGAAGAGGATAATCAAGATGTTTGAACTTGTAATAATTGATGATTTTAAGGCGTGTTACAACAAAAATAGCACCCTAAATTTAAATGAAAGTGTGTTGACTTATTTGTTTAGCATACATTGAGTTTAACCAAGTCTCTGTGTGGGTTCCAGTTTATATTATTACTCATTCAGATATAGAAGATAAGTTTTGATCAAGTCACAACCTTTTGAGGTTGTTAAGCCAGGTAACTGTTTTTTCTTGTGAATTTCTTTATGATGTTAGTTTTAACACGTTTTTATTGTTAATATGTAATCTTCACTTGTGTATTGGCAATTGACTTATTTGTTAGTCAACATCTTCATTTTGTTGATCTGTTTGATTACTTATATATTATTTTATTCAAAATCTTAATTTCAGTCAATAATAATATTTTCACATTTAAATTTCATGTTTATTTGCTATCCTTTTAATATTGATAAAAAGTATATTTTTGTATAGATTGATATAGGTCTCTCACCTGTTAGGATATCAAATTCCAAATCTTTGTGGGCAAGGTTCAACAAAATTGCTTTTGGTTGGTTCAAATAATTTCTTTTGAACATGTATATACAGTCACTTTTGCCTTTTTGTTATTAAGTACGAAAAATGATTAATTTTGATATATGGTCTATAATTTTACTGAATGTTTATGCTACTATAAGTGAATTCATGTAAAAGCTAAACAAACTATGTGTTTTTAAGGAAACGACAGAACTTGAATTAATGGTGGATGGCGAGCATTATTGCACTTTTATTATTTTAAGTTTATTGCCTATTATAGTTCTTAACAATAAACCTTTTTAGATTTTTTTATTTAATTGTTAAATAATTTTTAAATTTAACTACAAGTGTATGAGTAGATTGAAAATTTGGCCACTGTCGTATATATTTTTTTAAAATTGTCTAAGGGTAAGTTGGTAATTAAAAACTTATATTCATTATCCATAAACTTATTAAAGGTTTGCATTTTATCACAATGATCAAATCTGTAATCTTCTACTTTCTAAAAGTTTATAACATTATATATATTATAATTATGAAAATTACATTAAATATAAAATTTAATTCTTGATTAATTTGTAACTTATGCTCCACAAAACTCTTTTTACCATGAAAAATAAAACCAATTTTTCATAAAATCGAGTATAGTATTATATCCGGGAGAAAAAAAATTGGAATTTTTTTGTATCATTAAAATTGAATCATGGATCATAAAAATTATCAATGCTTCAATTTTAATGATCCAAAAAAAATTCCAATTTTTTTTTCTCTCCAATATAGTGCTATGTTCGATTTTATTATTTGTATTTTTTTTATAATTTTTTTAAACTTTCCTCACGAGTCCTCATTTTAAAAAGAGTTTTCAGATCCTGTTTATATATATATATATATATATATATATATATATATATATATATATTCATTTTAAATAATCTACATAAAAGTCTAAACAAATCTCATATCTTATTAATATAATATTTTTTTTTCATCATCATTTTCCATTTCTACATAAAAGTAAACAAATCTTATATCTTATTAATTTAATAAATTTTTTATTTTTCATTATCATTTTTAATTATCAATATTGTTTTTTTTACCCGTGGTTTCCACGGGTTGTAACCTAGTATATTAATATTTTCATCGAATGCACAAATATCAAGAATAACTTGACCAGAATAGGATGCCTCTACGTTTCCATAAAAAAATAGGAGAACTAGCGAACTTTAAGGCGCCTTTCGGAAACTTACTTTCTACGAACCACGAAAATGTTATCCCGTCATGCTATCATTTGCAATAAATACAAATAATAATCAAACTTAACTCATCAAAACTATAAGATCGAAAACTCTCCAAAATTTAAGGAATATCTATGACAAAAAAAAATAAACAAATAAAGGCATACATTATGTCTCAATGTATAAGGAAGGAAGACTATTGTCTCTCCTCCAGACACTACTCATCATCAATGCTATAAGAACAATCTTATGATATTCGTGAACCTTCATATAACGACCTCTCATTTTTACTAAGGGCATCTCCAACCCTACACCAAAAATCATATTTTACACTATATATTACACTATAATGCTCCAACCCTACATTACACCTAACATTATATGGCGTTGAAGAATAATGTAACACTAAATATAGTGTTACACTAATCTTCAACACTCAATATAGTGTTGAAGTTTCATTTGTACAATTTGGTCATTTAACTTTGAACATAGTTATGTTTTGTTTATTTTATACTATTATAATGTTTATATAATAACAATATTAGATTTGTGTCAAATATAACTTGGTTTCATTTAATAAAACATTTTATGGATGTTTTGTTCATAAATATTTGATAATATAATTTATTAAGCATTAGTAATAAAAATATATTAGTCAAGTTTATAAAAACCTAATAAACATAAGGGTTGTTTTTGTAAAATTATAAAAGTTTGATAAAAAAGAATATACTTAGAATATTTTTAAAATATTATTTTTAATGTTAAATATAATGCAATGAGTTGGAGTAATTTATTGTTTACAATATCTTTTTTACACTATAATTATAATTATAGTGTAATCTCCAACCCTTAACACCATTTTTTACACTATACTTGTAATTATAGTGTAAAAGATAGCGTATACACTAAAGTCCTCCAACTCATTACACTATATATATTTAGTGTTACACTAAAATCCAACACTATATATAGTGTTAGATATGGTGTAGAATTGGAGCATTATAGTGTAATTTATAATATAAAAGTGATTTTTTATTTAGGGTTAGAGGTGCCCTTAAGACTCTATTTTAGCGAACACATGTAGAGGCAAATTATGATTTTATTTTATTTATTTATTTTGCACGGGATCATGCATTTGCATCGTAAAGGTAAAACAACTACCCTTAACCTAAAATACCTTATTCTTCTAGTTCTTATAAAATCTAGAAGGCAAGAAACATAAGAATCAACACTAGAGCAACCAAAGAATTGTATGGTAACAATAGAAAACAAGTGAATCTTTGGAGGCATATTCAATAAACGACATAAAATTTTGAACCGACTCAAATGAGAAACAATATTTGACTAAAGTTAAATGAGACGAACGTGATAATCACTTATCACATGACTGAAAAATGATCATATGGTAAGTGTAAACCTATCTTTAAAGATTTGATATAAATACCAACCCTGTCGGGAAAGGGTTGGTTAATGGAATAATGAGGATCATAAGCCTCAACATCGTTGATGGGTGAAATATTGAATTATCGATAATCTCTAACACCTTTGATGGCGTAAGATATGAAACCACTTCTCTAGACATCTACAAGACTTAATATTTGGAGTGAATAACAACAATGGAGAAGATGCAAAGAAGATTACAAATAAAAGAAATCCTAATCACCATACATGTTTTTAAGGAAACTAAATGGTAAGATAATTATGTACTAATATTAGTTCCTATTTATGCGACATGACTATGTTTAATGTGAGAAACGACGACATGCCTTATATAAGAATGTAACTAGCAACTATATCTATAATGATTATAGTCCTAAATGCGATATTGTTCTCTCTCAATCACAATTCAGACCGGAGGATTAATGGTGGACCCCAGAGACCCAACACCGTAAGTTATGTTCCATAACATATGACCATGGTCCAACAATTAATCAAACAAGTACAAGCGTGCTACTCAAGATCGTCCAAAATCTCACTAGATGAAAAACCGTACATTTTATAACTATAAACAAACCGTTATCGCATCTCGCCAAGTATAAAAATACAATGATTATCTCTTCAAACCATTCCAAACATCTGAATAAACACCATTACACACACCAACCATATCTACTTATGGGCACGCCTAACCTAATTGTTTGCTATACAAGTGATACAAGTTGTTTCTTCACAACCTTTCTTCTCAAGTACCAACACTAGCTAACCCCTTGAAAGTAATTTGTCATGATTAACAATGTTGTTGTGTTAAGGCTATCAGGTATACAACATGCCACACAGGGTGGCTACATCATCTGTTCTCCACCACAGAAGAAAGGTAGGAGAAAGAATGAAGAAATGACGTGATACAATATGACTGAGGTAACGCCTCTCCACGTCTACAAGCTATCACATCAACACCATGCCTCTCCACGCCAAGAAGGGACGACATGAGAAGGCTCTATATCATCACCACACTCTTGGCGTTGGGTGTATGCTTGACCTAATCGATACATTTTTGTGCTAGCGTACGTACTTGGCTAACAAGGTGTCTAACAAAGTGTGTGTAACAAGGAGGTCATTGGTTTAATCCCGGAGCATATACTAATTTGCGGTTCTAGAAAAAAAAAAGACATTAAATGTTTATAGGAAAGTGTTGGAACATAAGTAATTAATGCTAAAAATAGGAATTTTCAACAAATTTTCTCTAGATTTGTAAAAATAATCTTCTCTTTCATGAGTCAACAAAGTCAAACATAACGTATAGCATGTGAGGTCATCACACGTCACTTGGTTTTTTACATCTAGTTGTAAGCATATAACTGGACTGTCATCTCTGAATGTGAAACCTATGTAGCAGTAACCAAAAAAATTCATGCACGCTTGCAGCATTGCCATCTATCATCGACCCTTCCACGCGTTGATGAACAAACCCTTTAATTTGCTTATAAATTCTCTCAAAACCCCTTGCAATTTGCATTAAAACCCACAACCAAATCACCTGCAGCCCCCCCTCCCTTCTAGCAAAATGGCTTCCGGAAGCAGCTCTCCAGCGAGCGATGGTTCCAGCAGGATCTCGGAATCGGAACCAGATTCTCCGATCTTGAAAATGTCTGATGACAGTTATTTCCATGACCTGAAGGTGGTGATCGGATTACCTGCGGTGGCTGCTGGTGGTAAAGGTTTGATGGGTAAAGACGATATGGGTAGCAAAGATGGCGATGGGGTGTTGGCGCCTGCAAATGAAGGGCAGCAGTGCATCGGGAGGAGCAATGAGTGGTTAATCTGTGGGTTTTGTACGGATCAAGGCAAACGAAGGTATATGGAGGATCGGTATGTGATTATGCCGACGTTTCTTTCCCTCCGCTGTAATACATTCGGTGGTTGTACTGCCCCTCAGTGTGAATATGCGTTGGAGATGTCTCCGGTTCACTACTTTGCCATTTTCGATGGCCATGGTGGTTGGCAGGTACGTAAATAAGATTTTATTATTTTTACACACCCTGTTTTTCACTCAGTTTATTTGATAAATGGAGTTAACTTTTTGGTTTTCCTTTAAATATTTTGTATAATGTTTTTTTACTGGTTTTCTTTAAAATAGTTTTTGTATAATAATTAGGAAACCAAAATTTTTATCTTTATTATTTAGAGTAAATTAAAGGGATAGTCATTATGGTTTAGAACTATATGGTTCTTTGACTTTTTTTTTCTCATTGTAACATTTATTTCAAATTTGTCCATATGCTTTTTAAATTTATTTATTATTTGTTAATAATTAATAATTTTAGAAAATTAAAGGTGAGATTTGTCCATATGCTTTTTAATTTTATTTATTATTTGTTAATAATTAATAATTTTAGAAAATTAAATGTGTCTCACCTCCACTCCATCTCACAAAACTATTTGTAAACCTCATATACATTTCTCTATTTCTCTCAAATTATCAAGAATACTAAACAACCGGCCGGACAATCATCATTAGCCCACTATCACCACTAGACCACCACCACCAGAAACCACTGAATCGTCGTTGGAAACAACCGGATCCCTGCTGAAAATGGCCGACTCCTTTTATTCCTTCCCACTTCTCCCATTTCTCCAATACCACCTCTCGTATTCTCTCTTCGTTACCGTCTTTGTCTCTATCTCCGACGCCACCACCACTGTCCGTCCTTCTCCCCCACCTCTATCTCCCCCTCCCATGATTAAATCCCAAACTAAAATAACAGCAAAAAAACATTTCTCCAAACCCTTTATTCACTACCTATCAAGCATTCGTGGAATTAAAACCCTCTCTGTATATGTAACTTGATCAAATTACCTGAAACACACAATATAAATATCGCTTTTTGTATCTACACTTGCTTAAATGATAAGAAAAATACAATCGAATCCCCCAAATCCCTCTTGGATGGTCAAGCTGATCGAAAGCCCTCTTTGTATTTGCATTATTACAAAATAGTAAACAAGAAGGGAAAGAAGGGAGGCAAAGATAACAACATGAGATCTATGTAGACGGATCTCTCCTTAAATCAATTTATGCAAACGGAGGCAGTAGTCATGGGAGTATTTTGATGTTATTCTCGAAAGACGATGTGTCAAAATCGATGTTCTTTTATGTTCGTCTTCGTGACGTTTGTAGTGAGAAGGAAGAAAAGATGCAGGTGTGCGGTGAGGTGGGAGGCGGCGGGTGGTGGTGGCATCGATATGGCAAGAAAGCTAGAAAGAATGAGGGATAAGGAGGCCACATGTTTTTATAATTTTTTTTTTACAAATTAATAACATAGAAAAAATAAAAAGAAATCATCAAATCAATAAGGGTAAAGTAGTATTTTTTACATTAAGAACCAAATATGAAACAAAACCATACTCGAAGGGTAAAGTAGTATTTTTTACATTAAGAACCAAATATGAAACAAAACCATACTCTAAGGAGTGTTCGAGTGAAAATAAAGAGCTAGGAAGCAAACACACATATTATCCAAAGTTCCAAACCACATGGACCATTCATGTAGTTTACTCTATTTTTTATTTCCATGATAAATTATTTTTGTATATTAATCTTTTTTTTATTTAAACAACTTGTATTTTACTCTTGAAAAGTTGAAACATCATTATATTCTAATTGTGACAAAAAGAAAGAAATCTTGTTTGTACATTTATATTTAAAACTAGAAAACTTAAATATCCTTTTACATTTTCTTCATAATTATGCTTATATAAGATTATTACATGTGGATATCACTAATTCTCTTTCTTAATCCCCTCTTTTAATTTTGACATTTGTCCTAATCTAATAAGTAGAAAGACGAGTAGGAAAAAAAAGATAGGATGATATTCTTAAAATCAATATACATATATAATCCGTATAACCTGTTCGTATAGGTTGTCTTAAATTTTTAGTACATGTTAAAATTTGGGAAATTGACTTATTAAATTAACTTTTTGGTTTTTCACATCTGGGTAATTATTTTTGTACACATCTAGGTAACGAACATTTTGGAAGTATTTACATATGACCATTATGACCGGCTGTAGTAGGTTACATTCGTTCGTTACCTAGATGTGTACAAAAACAGAAGTTACCTAAATATGAACAAAACGAAAAGGTAATTAACCTGATAAGTCAATTTGCATTTTTTATTAAGGTAGTCAATCATAATATTTGCAATATTAACAGTTAAATTTCCTTAAAACAATATTTATGAACATTTATGAGCATTTAAATTGGTCATGACAAGTTAGGAGCCGTTTTTGGTAGCGTAATTATCATATATATATATATATATATATATATATATATATATATATATATATGCTTAGGTTATTCTATTCAAAGTAATTATTGTGTTATTGTATACATAAATGTGGGCCAATCATTTTACTTATTTTAAGAAAGTGATTAATATTGAAAAATATCATCTAATTTAACTAGAAGGGTATTTTAGTCAGTTAACATAGATTTAATAAAGGAGATTTGCATATTTTAAGGGATCAAAGATTCTATTAATTTTAAAAATCCGATTTTACAAATTATAAGGTTTTTAGTTCGGACATTCTAACAGAATTTGTTTGAGTATGTTCAAAAATAAAAATATTCTTGAAGCATAAAATAATAAAAATATTCTTGAACATATTTCTTGATCATTACTTTAAAAATTTCTTGTAGAATAACAAAATTCTCGAACCATCAATTGAAGAATTAAAACAAAAATTACATTAATTCTTATAGAATACATGTAACAATTGCTTAGAATTACATTTATTTTTAAAGAATAAAACTAAAAAAATTTTCAAAACGGAAAGAGAACATCAAAATCTAACAACGACACTAATACATTCTAAAAGAATAATGTTGCTTAGAATCACTTTCAACTTTGTGGTCCGTTCTTCAAGCATCAACTTCTGTGAAAATCAAAACCAAATTGTAGTTTAGATTCTAATAATGCATTAGCAAATGAAAAATAAAAAACTAAATTCCTTTGGAAAAATATGTGGACTTGTGAATTGCACCAAAACCAATAACCAATAATTGTAGAACATGCATAAATTAGTGAGAAAATATTCATACTCCATTCCATTTACTTATATTTTATTCACTTATTTGCATTTGTATAGAGAAATAGAGAATAGGAAAATCCTCATTTTCCATTAACTCGTTTCTCGGTGGAATAAAAATAATAGACATAAAAGAGTGTACATAGAAATAATCAAGAACTAGAACCATAATTCAAAAACAAGAAATTAAATTAAAAACCGAGTATAGATTCATACCAGAGTAAAGAAATCGAATAAAAGCAATTTGTAGAAACCGAGTGCAGATTAATGGTCGTTCGGAGTCGGACTGGAGAAGAATTTTTTGTTGGAATGGAGAACGAACTAATGGAGATCATCATATTAACGCTTGATTTTTAATGTTGCTATACTTTCTAAGCGTTTGTTGGAATCGAAGAGACAAGAGTCGTTCATCCGAAGCCTAAAGATGTTCCAGTACTCCAAGGATTTTGAATTGATGACTAATTTAATAATAGTTTATGCTCGGTGGGGTAAAATGATGGATGATGTTCGGTGGGGTTTCGTTGTGTAGAAGATGATCTTAGTTGTGGTTATGGGTAGCCGGCAGTTTGTGTATGGTGATGGTGATGAAGCTGGTCGATGGTGTAGGGTAATGAAGATGAAGTAAGCGTGAATTTAAGTGAATTTGAGGTTGTGTATGAAAAGGATGAAGATAATGACCTTGATATAACTGATACACGATTTAAGGTAAGTTCCATAAATATTATATTTTATTTTTGGTTATTAAATCAAAATTGCATATAAAATTTGGAAATTGCCCTTATGTTTTGATTGGTTAAGAAATGGTCACACATTAACACAATAATTAGTTTAAACAAATGAATCTTTCTATATATATATATATATATATATATATATATATATATATATATATATATATATATATATATATATATAAAAGACAAAAACAATGTTATCAATGTAGATAAAAATACTTCTAGTTTTTGTATTTTAAATTCTTATAATACATGGAACAAACTTCATTGAAGATGATGTTCTTCGTTTTATTAGTCTCAATTTCTGATACTTATAGTTTCTAGTAAATTTAAATTTTTATATTTAGTATTTTAAATAATAAAATTCTATAAAACGACGATGTTTTTTTTCCATGTCAAATCTTGAGTTTTATTATTATTATTATTATTTATAACCAAAGTAGTGTATTTTAAAAAGATATTTTGCTAAAATGGTGTGGTTTTAAAAATATTTACCATTTAGATTAAATTTTATACCAAATCAAAATTAGAAGGTAAAATAAAATAGGAAAGAAATTGACTAATCACGGTAATTAAATTTTCGGTTTGTTCATATCTGGGTAACTATTTTTTTGTACGCATCTAGGTAATGAACTTTTTGAAAGTGCTCACATATGACCATTATGATCGGACGTAACCTGCTACAGCCGGTCATAATGGTAATATGTAAACACTTCTAAAAAGTTCATTACCTAGATGTGTATAAAAAAAATAGTTACCCAAATATAAACAAACCTAAAAGTTAATTACCTTAATAAGTTAATTTCCTTTAAAATTCTATATGCCTTTGTAGTTTCATTATATGATACCATATATGTCTCCAAATACTTTTACTTATATACATATATTTAACTATTTATCATCCAAGGATATGCATGTGTATAGTTTCATACCTCTTTGAAATTACTTACATGATTGATTTATGAAAATCTTAGATTGATAATAAGATTGATGTTACTGAAACAATTTATGTTTTAATGTTTGCCTTAACCGTTTTAAAAATACAATCCTTTAGATCTTAGACCTATTTGAAATGATAGCAGTTGTAATCAAAACTGATGATAACAATTATAATAAAGACCTGTAGATGTTAACAAAATTGTAACAAATAGTAGTGATGTAGTTTTTTTTAAATAGGTATAAGCTCTTA